ACATTTCAATGCACAATTCACATTGCCTGTATTTCAGGTTTTGTGCAGTTAAATTAGATGTTGCACATTTCCTACGGTTCTTAAAAGCAGCTACTGCCAATCAACATAGATAAACGATGTGTATTCACGTAACTCGTTGCCTAAAACCATAGACTGTATAAACGTGACGATYTTCTCTCCGTAAATGTTTATTGCGTAGATTTGAGGAACACGTGTTGATACAACTGATCTAAATGTAAATGATGAACCAATCACAGTAACCGGTAGTGACCTTGTGAACTTGTGGGCGTGAACGAGCTCGTGGTTGTGAAGGAGGAAGATTAACTTTGGAGAACGAGTCGAAGTCGCAGGTAAATGACACATTGAAACACCTTCATGTGTCTGAACAGAACACTTCCAGCTAATGTCGTTTGTCACCGCGGATCATTGTTGACCTCTTTCTACACGTTCAACTGTGAGAGGACACGAACAAACGTCATTTTACTGTTAGCTACAGACCGCTAGCTACAAGCACCGCGGGCTACGGTTAGCCATTAGCTCCTTGTTAGCATTGTTCCTCCACCTGGAAAACACCCAGGAGACGAGACAGCGGTGAGACGTCACGTGTCTGCAGGTTCCCTCAGTGGAGCGGCTGAGGTTTGAGTTCAACTCAACACAGAAACTACACCTGCACCACAGGTAAGTGGTTCATCTTAGATCTAGAACTGTAGCACTGACATTTGCATTGAATTGAAGTGTTGCTATAAAAAACAATATGCTGGAAACACTGCTTTGTTGTCAACAGTAAAGAGAAGAGCTTTTCAAACTGCCAGAAAACTAAAGGTATGTCAGACCCTTGTGGTTAAGATCCTCATTTATTTCACAACATTGTTTATGTATGTGAGTTTGTACAGGGCTGACATATTTTCCACATGTCCCTGGGGAAGGAATTGCAGAGCAGTGTATAATATCAACATTTAGCTCTTAAAAATAAAAATCTCTGCTCTGTCTTTCATGGATATGACTTTACAGCCTAGGAGACTTTTTTTGATATAAGGCAAGCAGCCACAAGTTTCTTTAAACAGAATGCATTCTTTAAATTAATAAGAAAATTGTAATTATAAAATAATGTTAGAGGAATAAATCAATTCTCTGTTTATGTATGTAACCCCACCCCATTGACTTAGCTCACAGATGTTTTCCATAAACTCTATTAATGAATAAGGTTGAAGTACAGAAATTTAGTGCCAATCGGGCACTGGTACCTACATGGCCGATATGGACTGGAACGAATCACAATGTAGATTTGTCTGCTGCATTTGACTGCATGAATTCTGCACTAAAATAGTTGCTCTGCTTACACATAAACATGTGGATACACATAGGAATGACAAATATCCTCATAATAATAAACCTGGAAACACCAAGGAATCTGTCAGACTACAGAGACAGGAGGTGTCTTAGAGCTGAGATCATTTCTGACCCAGATGATTAGTGATCCGTGCCATGTTTGTAGTGTTAATATCTAATATCACTTACAACCACAACACAGACATTACAAACTATACAGGACTCATTTTGAAGAATTACTGAAGTGACATTGACATTTTGAAGACAAAGGTATTTGTATTTATGAAGCACATTTCATGCACAGGTCGATGGAGAAATAAAATCATGTGTCTCTTTGTGCTGTTTTTTTTTTCCCCAGCGTTATCCGAGGAGCTTGTTCCAAGTGATGCTGTCGTCGTTCAGCTCTCCTCTCAGAACGGACACGGAAGGCAGGTTCCATCTGTCCAAACATGCTGTCTGTGACTTCTCGCCGTTCTTCAAGAAGGACGTGTTTGAGTACAGCGTCACCACGGCACCAGCTGAGTCCAAAAACAATCCAACCCCCACCACCACCTCCTCCAAACTACCAGAGCGTTGTCTCCTCTGAGGGTGAAGGAGGGAGAAGTTGCAGGTCAGTTTCCTCTCCTCTGTCCTGAGAGATGCTGCTCAGCTCAAGGTTATCACAGTGACGCTTCAACGCTCTGTTTCAAAAGTTCCAGCTCGACGTGATCGACTCAAAGAGCCAATAATCAGTTAGAATCAATATATTGATTCTACGTTTCCTGTACCTTCAAACTGCCTGGGGTTGAGGGTTCAATTCCCTCCCATCAGGTCCAACAAAGAAAAATAAATTATTTTTTCTTCAGATCAGTTTTTGACAGAAAATGACAAGAAACCCAATTTTAAATTTGAACACATCTGATGTTCCAGAGACATTTCCTCTTTTCAATCGGCTGAAGAGGACGGGGGGTGGCGTCTTAATGGATGTTTTCAGTTCATAAACAGGAAGTGTTTGGAGTGAAGACATCAGTGGAACCGTGATCATCAGCTGATTACTTGTTTCCATCAGATGACAATGTTGTTGTAATAAGATTCCGATATTTCCAAAAATGTTGTTATGTCCTTATATGTTGAGACCTGAGTGGACGTGAAAACTACAAACGTTTAGAAAAGGTCCATTTGTAGAAGACTTTAAACGTCTTCTGTGCTCTAATTATTTGTTTTCCAAAAATATTGCTGGAATATTTATTGAACAAAAAACAGGCTGAATATTAACATTACATGACACTGAGTGTTGGCGTCATTTTTGAAGATTAGATTATATGCGTACATACAATCTAAATATTCATGCACTTGTGTACGATGTAGTGTTGACTCTTAATGTCTGCTTCATGGGCCTGAAGGGGAAGTCGTGTAGAGAGACGCTCAAAGCCTTGAGCCTGTCGGTGCAGGTCTGCAGCAGCTGGTTGTACTCCTGCAGGTCACAAGTTCACTGTGTCACCACAGGAAGTGACTTATTTTACAGCCTCAGTTTGACATGTTCACTGACTACTCACCTGATGCTCTCGAGCCAGGTCCTCATCTAACGCAGCAATAGTGACATGTTTTGACTCCAACGTTTCCTACAAGAAGAAAAATCACAGACTGAAGACATAAATCACAAAGTAGAACCATGTCTCTGAACCTTCACACTCGTGGAGCACTCACCTTCAGTTTGTTTGCGCTGCTGCTTCCTGCAGTGTCTGAGGCGGTGGCAGTGGAGAGTGTGGCGCAGAGCTGAGCCTCTTTTGTCTCCACAGTTTGAGTCAGAGCAGCTAGCTTTCTCTCCAGCAGCAGCTGTTTCAGTCCATTCCTCTGCTGTACCTCCAACATGACATTCATCTGTTTCCTCTGCAACTCATCACGCTCCTTCTGAACCTGCTGACAACCAGAACCTTGTGTCAACTCCTGCCACCGCGCTGAGACAATGTCACAAAAGCCCACGTTACCTTTTCAGACGTCTGCAACAGCAGCTCATGCTCAATCGTCAGATCCCACAGCTCCTTCTCAGTGGCCTTCACACGAGCACCGGACTTCTGTCACACCATCAGATGTTTAGAAGAAAATTATCGATTAGAGATATTAGTTTACATTTCAATGTAACAACAAAAAATCTGACGGAGGTTAAGTTTCTATTAAAAAACATTTAACCTCATTCAAGGAGGCTACGTGTCCACCCCTGTCTGTCGTCTGTTTTATTTGTTTGTTTGTCAGCAGGATGAACAGATTTGCTGTAAACTCAGTGGGGGAAGAGAGAACTGGCCAACTTTTACCGATCAAGGAATTTTTGAACATTTTCAGATGAAACGTTTCATTTTGTTTCTCATCATCTTAAAAACCTTTAAGACCAAAATCTCAGAAGAGAAACAAACTTAGAAAACACGTTGACACTGAAAACCGCTGTTAGGGGAACAAAGATAACTGAGTTATGATGCATTCAGATCAGTTCATGTGCTGTGAACCTACCACTATGTTGGCCTTGGTCCGGTTGCATTCGTGCACCTGCTGCTGGAACTCGGGCAGCTTCTGCTCGGCTTCGTGCAGAGACTCGAGCAGACGCTTGTTTTCTCGCTGAGCAACTGAAAGCTGCTTGTTCATTTGCTTCAGCTGCTTCTGCGTCTCTGCTACCTCCTCCTGGACAAAAACAGAAGCACCACACAAAACAAAGAAAATTAATGTCTGAATGTTTAATGTCAAAACAAAGAAAGTAACACTTTGATCATTTATTATCAAAATAAATTGATGATTAAAGTTACACTTGGAAACTTTGAACATTTTTACAGAAGAGGATAATATTGAGTCATTTTCATGAGGTCACTATGACCTTTGACCTCTGACCACTCAAACCTAACTGTCCGTCTCTCACCTTCAGCATCATCTCATCCTCTAGCACTTTCTTCTGAATGCTGGAGTAATACTCCTCAGCTCGTCTGAGAGCACAGGCGTGATCCTCCACCAGCGCCACAACTCGAGCGTTCATCCTGTCATCCAGCTTGTTGATCTCTAACCTCTGCATTTGTTCCTCAACCTCGATGGTCGCCTGCATCCCCTCATTAAATTTCACCTCCAGTTCTATTGAAATGACAGAAGAAGAATTAGAGTTCAGCAGTTAGTGAACATCAGTTAAACTGATTCACATAAAAAAGTTAAAGCCTAAACCTTCAAAATAAAAGACTTTTAGAACCTCAGTTTTCTTCCTAAAAATAATAATTAATAAGCTGAATCATTAAGAACAGTAGTTCAAATGTTACACCCCTTTATCATTTATCAGGCTGCATCTATGTCCACGTCAGGAATATGTAAGATTTTCATTCAACTAAAGTAAAAGATATGGATTTATAAATATGTTAAATATTTTAACACTTGAAATGTGATACTTGAATAGGCATTATAAATGTAGGAATCATAATTGTTTATTTTTCCTTCTGAGCATATGATTATTATTATTATTAACAAATTTTTTGCAGAAAGACAAACTGAATAAATTCTAAAAGTATTTTTAAATATGTTGGCTGATCTATATTTATTTTCCTTCTCTGATTGGACATGTGATCAATCAAATGATTTCTTCAAATTAACGTTATTTGTCCGAGTCTTACATATGAACTGTAAATGAAGATGATGACACATCTCCACTTCCTCCACTGTACAAAGATGAAGCTAAAATATCTCACTTGAAAGTGCTTGACCAATCAGGAGTCAGTCAGACTGACTCAGCCTCCTTTTATATCATCAAATAACTCATTAAAACCAAACGGACACTTGAACAAATTTCAGTGGGATAAGAACTACCTGAAACGACATAAATCATATTTGACAAACATTTATATTACGTCTACTTGAATTTTTTTACTTTGGCCCAAGTCCTGTCTGCTAAAATGGAGGTTTATGACCTTTACTGCTGCCAGACACTAGGGGGTGATACATATGATTTGACTTCACTTCTGAAAGCCATCATGTCGTCAATCTTTATCTACAGTTCATGTTCTGACCACCAGGTGATCAGTTCATTTACCTCTAAATTTCTTGTCGTAGTTGTTTGTCAGCGTCAACAGTGCCTCCTGGTGTTTCTGTTGAGAATCAAACAACGTTCACTCACATAAATAAAATACGGGGAAAAGAGTGATTTCATGCAGAGGTTCAGTCTGACTCACCAGTTTAATTTCCTTAATGCACTTTTTCTGGTACAGTGTCTTCTCTCTGGCGTCCGACTGCAGCATGTTGCTGTGCAGCTCAAGCTCTGACTCGGTGTGCTGGTTCTGTATCAGTGATGCGGAGGTGGCAGCTTCCATTTTCAGCTCAGAGACGGTGTTGTGCTGCTCAGACAGGATGTGCTTCAGCTTCAGCTTGTAAATCTGGACATAAACCATCACACTAAGCGTCAGAGGAACACCTCATCATTCTCTAATTTTGATTATTTAAAAAACTAAAACCATTTATGTAAAATTAATACAAAATGTCTGGAAATATTGTGGCACCAGAGGAAAAATGTGTAACTAACACTGATCTCCACTTGGTAGCGCTGCTGAGTCTCTTCTCTCTCCTGGTGTGCTTGCCTCAGCTTGTCTTTTGCCTGCTCCACTTCTTCCCTGCACTTTTCCAAGGATTCCTGGGTGTTGTTTCTGTCCAGCTGGATGAGGCTCTTCTTCTCCCGCGCCAACTCCAGCTCCTCACGGAGACGAACAATGTGCTCCTCCAGCTATGGGGGTCAGAGTGGGAGCTCTTACCAGTTTATATATAAATCATTAT